TAACTAGAGATGATGTGATTGCATCGGGGATCGAGAAATTTAATGACACAGATTTTAGCTATTGAAGAATGCAGATAGATGACTACCTCTATGGGAAAAAACTTTACCTTCCCTTACTGAGAAAGCGATCAAAAAAGATGAATTCTCTGCCAGGGAATGAGACTTGGAAGCTGACAGAACTTCCACCAGAGAATAAAACATTGCATAACAAGTGTATTTACGGGGTGAAGTTTGCGCTTGACAACAGTAAGTGGTACAAGGCTAGACTTGTTGAAAATGACTTTCAGCAGAGGTAGGATATTGCCCATGCAATGAGAGTTGTAAGCAGAAACATGAGTAACCTAGAAAAGAACTTGGAGATACAAAATTATATTGATGATGATATGTCGACAAAAGGTGTTACTCTTGAGAAATTAAAGTTGTGCTCGACTTCAGCTGGTCTTCTAGCATGAAAACCGAGGCTTTGAGCTGCAGAGGTGGAGGATATCACGTTTCAAGAAAAGGGCGACGCAGCTAGTGGATGATACAGCCAGTGTACCGGTTTCCAAGTGGGAGATTTGTTGCGAATATGAAAACCAGTGCACTGCTCAAATTGACATTTTTTCATGTTTGACATTAAATTGGATTTGATACTCGAAATTAATTGTTCTTAATTTCTTCTATGATTTGCTGCAGAAGAGAAAACTAAATAATTCATGAGCTTCATTAATTATTTGATTAATTCCTTAATGAGCCTAATGACATTATGAAATTAATAAATAGACATGCTTAATCTTCTTGTTATTCCTCTTCGGCATTGGTAGCTTTCTAGGTTTTTCTTCTGGTGTGCTTCGATTTGAAGCTCTCGGGTAGAAAGAGAGAGAGAAGGGGAGGAGAAGAGGAGAGAGAAAGAGGAAGAGAGAGTGTTTTCTTGTAATTATCGAGGTAATCGATGGGTGAATTTTTCAAGCTAACAAAATCCTCTGCAGCTTTGTGGACGTAAGTAATTTACCGAACCACATAAATCTGTGTGTTTCACTGTTTTCTGTTTTGTGATTTTTCTCGATCCGATTTTTCCCTTTATTGTCGTCGTTTTTTCACAACACTTTTCATTAATTTATTATTTTTTTATAATAAGGAGTAGTGGGGACAATTTTTGGACCGTTTTATATTTAACAGCAATCATAATTCTTTTTGCTTTATTGTTTATATTATTTCAATAAAAAATAATTTATGATAAAAATAAAATTTATAATCAAATTTAACAGAATGTGAGAGTTTAGTATAAAGCACTGAGTTAGTAGAAAAATCAGATAGCGGTTGAAGATCAAATTTAACTCTTTCTTGATCTCATGCGGTTGAAGATCGACCACAATTCTCGACAAAATGATAACCAAAGACCCATCTTAAAATGATCATAGTAAAAGACTAAGTCGGGAGAAAAATCACACATACCCGTTCCTGGCTAGCGGCTGGTCGCATAACAATCATATGATCCATAACATAATGATCATGGATCTCTTCTGTGTCATCCGTGAAGAGGACCGAAACCTCCATAGCAGAAATCAGACCAAATTAGTCCTGAGAAAATTTTAAACCAATGAGCTTATGATACAATGCGAGAAAGAAGAAAAGATGATGAAAAGAAATAGCGAAACCCAGAGAAAGGAGGAAAAGGCAGCGAAACCAAGAGAAAAAAAGGAAAGGACAAGGATTCTCACCCGCAACTCAACCACAAACGAGAATGGGGACCCATGGGAAGCCGAAACGCCGACGACAAAACTAATATAACAGAATGTCAATCCCTCCAAGTAAAGTAATCATTACCAGATATAGAAAATATTTTATTTTATTTATTTTTATTTATTTATAAAAAAAGGGGGACATCATGCTAAACTCTTGGCTACAACTAAGAAAGAAAAAATCTAACTAAGTGAACATTCACGGCTTCGTTCGAGACAAGCCCTCGATGACGAACCCGTTCATACAAAAACTCGCCGCCCAACCTAAATAGATTATGGCTATTCCTTGGCTGAGCGACAATGACCTCTTTGACGACTGACAGTTCCAAACACAGACGCGTGACCTCCCCATGATAGACAAGCATCTCCCCCCGGAAGACTGTAAATTCCTCGCGAAGCACGACAACTTCCCTCTCCACCTGGTCAAACCTCTCCAGAACTTTAGCAATTCTTCCGTTGTCAACTTGCCATCATCTTGAGGATACCTCATAAAACAAAGGAAATACTCCTCCATCTCAGCAAGACGAGAATATAAAGTCAGAAGAAACCTGACAACCCACACTCTGATCCCCACTGAGAGAAAAGTGCCCATACTTCCTTTGCTCCCTAGAACTGTGCTCAGTACCCTGATCCTCAGCACCCTACACAACACCCGACTCGGCATCCTGATCCCCAACACCTTGCTCCGATACACCCCAATCTGTCATATCCTCTCATTCCACAGCCACATGTTTCATATTCGCTCCCTTGGTCGCAACCTGGTTCATGATAGCTGCGTCATCCTCGAGGTCAGCATCAGTATCTACCGATACAGAGTCGATGGTCAGGACTTTGGTTGGTGTACCGAAGAAAGATGCAAACGACAATTCAAGCTACATACCCAACATCCACCCTCATTCAGACATGGAGTAAGAAAAAACATCCTTACCAAACTTCCTTACTCATCTGCCCTCAGAGAAAAGACCGTTCTTTATCGATCAAAGCCACGTCTCAACTTCGACTGTTGTCTCCTTAGGACCTATTTGAGGAACCAAGGCCCTCGTGACAACCTGAATGGACAAACTCTCTCTTGCGGTAAAAACATTCACCTCTGAGGAGTGCCTTGTAAGACCATCGTCAGGACAAACTCTAGCTTGCCCTATTGCCCTCTCCTGAGACAAATCCACAAGAAAACCAGAAGAACATTCTCGACCCTCACGATCTCAGACCCCAACTTAGGCACAACTCTATTCTTACTCATC